AAATTGATTACGTTGGTGTAATCAACCTTATTAAAACTGTCATCGACTAGAAATGTTTTAACTACGCATTGAAGCTATATGAAACAAAAATGATACATATATGTTAATCTCAACACAATTAAGAGGATTTAAACATAGAAATGTTAAGTAACCCTATCAGCAGCCTTTATTACTAACTAGCGACCCACCCCGGCTTCACACGGGAACAATGTACAATACACATAAACCTTCCTCTTGAATCACTACATCTAGTAAAAAACCCGCATCAAGATCTGTTGCGTAGTTATAAAGATCAAAGCATACATAGGAACAGACAGACAGGAGGAGGACATTTTTTATACTGTGTGTATATATATTTCATTCCTTAAAATATTCTTTTCTTTGCATAAAAAAAACTTCTGCGATTGGCTAAACTGATACTACCGATTTTTTGAATAATCAACCCTCTCTCATATTAAGCTGATTAGAAATAAATTTTATCCATGACTTTACCCGCAGTACCGACTTTGAATTGAAATAGTTAATTTTACGCCATCAAATATTAAAATATATAAATTTAATTATACGAAAAACTAAAATCATATACGAATGCTTCATACTATTCGTATACTAATTACTAGTTTGTGAGTTCGATCCCCGCTACAGAAAAACTTTTGTGATGATCAAAGTGTTTTTCTACTGTTTCAGTGTTTATCTTTGTCTATATCTGTAGCATAAATTTATTTACGAAAGTAAAGTTTTTTATGCATAATTATCATTGTTACCCCGTACCCATAGTACAAGCGATGCTGCTTAGTTAGGGTCTAGTTGAAGTTGTATAAAGTCATGTCCGGTATATGTTTAAAAATTTAAATATTTAAGTTCTTAAGCAGTGCTAGATGTCTTTAACAGAGCTCAGTCACAACTGTAAATCAAAACAGTTTAAATACTAAACTTTAGTTATTCTTCAGTAGATGATTCTAAGCACCTAAAAATGTGAACAACAAGTAACAATTTTATAATGCTAGATCTAAAATGATTTTTAATTTATCATCATGATAATGGCAACATTAGAACGAGTTAACTTTGAAGCTAAATGTTACTTCCACGTACAAAGTGCCAATAAAATAGTGAGTACTCATAATCCTTAAGAATTTATCCCATATAAATCAACCGTCGCCATCTTTAACATAATAATATTTACATACGGTGTCCATGATTGTCTAATTTATTAACTTCTTCTATTTCTTTACTACTTACTTGTGCCACAGAAGTGATAGGTATACAAAGTATACAGATTAATTGATGTGGGGCAACAAATAAGAAAAAGGTACTAGACTTTCATGTTGCAACAAAAAACAACATACGAGGTTTTCCGACATGTTAGCTAAAGACACTACAATCGTTATCTGCCAACTATTACCAACAATTTATTTAAAAATACCGGTACCGCGAAACCTTTTTAACACTGATTATGAAAGTAAACACTTTACGATAACATAGCAACTAACATTAGCAACAATAACATTTACTCGGTATTGTTCGTGAGCATGGAATCCATCAACCCGCAGTAAGAAATCATGGCGGAATAAGCTCTCTACACTGCCCCACAAAATAAGGGAGTCTGTACCCTGCAACGGAGCGTATAACGGCTGATAAGAATTACGTTTATACATTCGTTATATAAATTATGAAGCTATTATTCCAATATACGTTTCTTTTCCAAATGCATTTATTTATAAGAGTATATAGATTATTACTATATATTATTGGTTATGTTACGTTTTCACACGTTGTAAGATTTTTTTTCTTTTTTTTTCAAACGTTACGTTTTACAAACATAAATTTCACTCGGCTAAACACCCTGATGCCAAAGAACTAACTGTGGGTCACACAATCAGTTGTCCCGTGTGGGAATCGAACGCACGACTCCTGATACTGAAGCCAATACCTTGGCAACTGCGCCACGGAGTCATTAAAAGTATGCTATAATCAAACAAGTATTCTATAGAATAACAAATGAAGCGCCAATTCTCGAGTAGAGTTGACTTGTGGTCATCTCTACCAAGTTGGAGTCACGATCCATCCATATCACGAGCCCTTTCAATCCATATATCAACAGAGATAGAGCTTTTCGCACAATCAGTCCACATATGGCAAAAGTAGTCCTTACATGAATGAAATCGTGGTTTACACCAGGTAAGAAGCGACCGTGATGTGAAGCACGACCGCACTCAAACAGCTTTGGCTCTGAACTCAATAAACCACTCAAAATTGATTCCGGAAAAAAATATTTTCCTAATAATTAATGGTGATCTGCATATTTCAAGGAAACGGATAGATAATAAGGAACTAAAGTGAAGAAAAAGAAGAAACGTTTTTCAAAGAAGATTGCAAGGTTTTCAAAATTAGGTCTTTGTATATTAACAAATCTTTGAACCAATAATGATTAATTTACCGTTGAAAATATGTTGCCGTTGCCACCTTTTAATTAAGGGGGCTCCGGTTACCTCACTCGCCGGATGAAACGCAGAAGTATAACACTTCCACTGTACATCGGTCTTCTGTGAGGTCGTTGTACTTACCCGGACGGACCTACCCATTCGAGCAACAGCGAAGGATAGGAAGGAATGGAATAAGAGGTAAGAAAGATAACAATAATATCTTTACAAAAAGCAATGAAAATACATATATCTACCTACCCACTCTTTACTTGTTTATTTTTCTCCTTATAGTTAATTTTTTTATAAAGCATGACATTTTATCGGGCAAAAATATAATATTTTTCTGTCGTTCGTTATGCTACATAATTTTCGCTCGTTAATTGTACTCTGTTTCATTTTTATTATTTTACATGAAAAGTTTTGTATGCTTGGCACCGATTCTCGGTTGCATTTGCGGTGGATAATTTCCGTTGTTGGGGGTTTCATTATCTTTTAATACTATAATAGAATAGAATGTAATAGACAGTATAAAAATAATGTCACAGCCACATTTTATAAAATATATTATCGGGTTGGGGAATAAATATTTTTGAACTAATATTTTAGAAACTTTTCCAGTTTTTTACAAAAGTTCTAATATTTGGCATCTATTGTAATAGTTGTGTTAAAAAGGTTTAGGTGACATTTTTAGCTAGTTTACCACCTTATGGGTTATTGTCAATACTTGCAATAATTTGACATTGATACATAACTTAATACCATTTCCATTAACTGAAATTTGTACTGTTAGCAAACTTTATAAAATATTTAAATAGCTTTATTAAATTTAAAAATGCATTAGTTATTTATTAATTATGTATATTACATCAATCCTCAGGGGTGCATTATTATAATCGTAACTCTTGAATGGCTAAAACTAAAATAAAAAGGGAAAACGTTTATATATTTTTTATAGACATGATCTTAGGAGCGGCATTGTGTGCCAATGTCATTAATAATGTCGAAGATAACAGTCCATTGGTACAGTTACATTGGTACTGCACTATTGATTATTATCTTTGACGTATACAAGGCCACATTTATATACAACACGATCAAAACAAAGATGGCGAAAATAGAAAGAAACTATATTTCTAATACCAGTATTATTACAAATTATAACCCAATACTTGAGTTCAAGGATAATTTTGTTATAAAATGAAATTATTTCATGTATATATATAGCTGCTATGTGTTTAAAAATATCACTGTACCACATGTGGACTGCAGCAGAATAATCTTAGTTAAACGGGCTTTTTCTACCACTATTTATCCCATACATTGTTAGATTTTGAAGACACCGTGAAGTTTTTTGATACACAAAGTTTTAAAAACTTTGCTATTATTAGGTGTACATACATTTAGATGATTACTTAAAGGTGTAATAATATATAAATATTTTTGTATTACAAATGTAAGGTGGCCAAAGGTGTTAGGTTATAGGGTGTCTTGAAAGAAATTAATAAGTCAAACGATTATAATTGAAGAGAAGGTGAAAGGGGAAAATAACTTGACCCACATAGGCCAGATTATGCAAGATAAATGTGTATTCTTCGTTAAAATAGTTTTTGTTGCCTTTGATTTTAATATTAAATATGTAATGACAATCTGATAGAAGGAAGAATATGCTTTCAGAATAGATTACTATCATATGGATTCTTATTAGACCCTCAACTGTTATTAAGTACATTGAATTCCCATAAAATTGAGTTACTGTAATGAATGAATTTTATATACACTTATATTTCTTAACTAAGAAAATATATTGAAATATTTAAATTATACAAGAACTCTTTTCAATGTTACAGGAACATGTCATACAGAAAGCCTACAGGAATGACAGTCGACACAAATAAATCAGCAGAGACATAATGAATGTGCTTTTTCCTTCACAACTTTTCTCATTAAAAATATCAGTTAATACTTTTACGATAACTAATAAAGCAATAACGTAGAAGTCGATGTAGCAGAACAAATGTTGTTAATTTCTTCTTTATAAATCGTCACCGGAACAGGCGAGCGGCCGTTTTTGTTTTTCATCGACAGTTCATTCATCTCGAGTGAAACATTGACAGATCCATTGTAACCACGAACAATAAGGGAGCTACCACACAAATTTTCAGTAATAAGAGATTTTTCATTTTTCGAAATACGCACACTTTCTTTCATAAAAAGACCAGTAGCGACAGGTTTTGAAAATAAAAAAAAAATGTCCACTACAATGTATATTGTTTATATTATTAAACCGTTGTTAATAATGAAATTATATTTAGACTGACACACGATATGTTCAAGTTTGAAACTTAAGAAGTGCGAACTTCCAAACGTGTCACGAATTCGGAAGAGTACGAACAAAGTTTCAGACAGGCCGCAACTTTTAATCGCCTAATTACACATCCTGTCGGCTGTCGAGTGTAAGGTTGATAATGACTTGTATTCACTTACCTCGGGGTCATCCGGCGTCGTCCGTCGCCACCACCCTTTGTGTTTGTTGCAGCGCGGGAGGGAGGGGGGGTAGGGTAGCGAGACAGCTCCTTAATAACTTTCAAAAAGAGCGCTCGAACGTGGCGAGCGCAGCGCAAGCCGCGGGTCCCGGCGATTCATTAAACGCGAGCGTGGAGGCTGAGTGCCGCCCGCGCCCCGCGCTACGCCGTAGCCCGCTACGCGCATGTGCCCGCCCGCCCTCCAATAGCACTCCTGTTGCATCTGACGGCCGCACCACGTCCAAACGAACGCTATGAATAGTTTAGCCATCGCGAAATTATACGATAATCGCCAATCTGAGTCGCTCTAATATTTCAGCTTCCGTCAAGTTCACTTTATTACGTGCACTTATTGTTAACTTTATCTGGCAATTTTTCATGTTGTTTTATCTTTCTTTTATCACAAAACATGCATTTTGGCAACATTTAGTTAGTACTCAACCCAATAAAGTTTTGGTACCTGCTAGAAATATCCATAACTTATAAAAATCAGTAAAGGTAAAAAGTTTTTGTAACTTTTTTAGGTACATAGTTTCCTACGATTATAGATTTTAATAAGCGTTTGTTGCAAATTTAGGTGTTATATTCAAACGGAAAGGCTTAGTAGGATTGCAACAAAATTTTAGTAGTATAACGCAGCAGACTTTCTCATATAAAAGTAGTTTGGAGACCACATTGCCAGCTAGACAATCTTTTCATAACTTGCATCCTAAGTTCTATAAATATAAAATAAAAAAAAATATTAACAGCAAAATAATATTTGTAAATTTTAATACTATTCTGTAGATGTTGGATTATCAAATGATTATATAACGCTCACTATTGTAATCACTTATGTGTTGACTTATACATGGAACAAAAAGTTACAAAATTAGGTAACTTTAATTAAATAAAGTAATAGAAGTAAAAATAAAAAATATTATATAACGAGTAAAAATAATTTTAAATCCAAATTCCTTTTTCTTGTTATTCCGTTTAATTAATTTCCACCAGTATACTTTTTAAAATATTTAGATATTTATAAATGTACAGAAACTGAATCGAAATGCCTACCTTTGCCTATATTAATACATAAATACATTGGAAGCACTTATTGTCCACAATTCATCCCGTAATTTTAACGTGTGTTTCTTGCCGATAATAAAACAATCAGATAGGGGAAGAAATTCATATGGGCACTCTTTTGATATGTAATTGGGATTGTTTTATCTTCTTTCCTTTTATGAATAACGTTATATGATTGAATTTTACTCAATCAGCTTTAATAACGTATGTCATATAAACATATTTAATAAATAACTGTGGTAGGGCCACGCAACAGTGTTCACTGTTGTACGATTGGGCAGATCTGTCCGGGTAAGTACCAGGACCTCACAGAAGACCGGAGTAAAGTATAAGTGTGAACCGGAGTTACACTTCTGCGTCTGCTGAGTGTGGTAGCCGGGGCCCACTTTATTTAATGGTGGCAACGCATTTGCAACCCTATGGGTGTTGCAAAAGTCCATGGGCGGCGATTATCACTTAACATCAGGTGAACCACCATTTCCTCAAGGTGAACCTCGATTTCCCCTTTATAACATAAAAGCAACATTGCCCAAACCTCACTCCCAAACCGGCGTGAAGTGGAAGTATTATACTTCTGCGTTTCGTCTGGTGAGTTAGGTAACCGGGGTCCAATTTATTAAAAGGTGGCAACGCATCTGAAAAGGTACGGGTGTTGCAAATGTCCATGGGCGGCGGATATCACTTAACATCAGTAGCACCACCGGCTCGCTTGCCTCCTTCTCACATAAAAAAGAACTGCATTTCCTTCCAATACACATTTTAGTCTACAGCCACAATATAAGTCTATGTAAATAAAGTTTCAATTCGTAGAAGTTTAAACCACAAATCTTCCGTAATCTGGAATGCTGCCCCGTTATATTTGTCTGACGTTTTACAATGCCTGAATAAAGCTAAACAGCATGAAATTTATCCTTAATCCGGCTGAACCTTCATCAGAGCGTTACAAGCTAAACAGTAATCCCTCGAAACACGTTGGCCAATTATTTATGGCAAGGCTAATAGCAACTAAAGCCGAGACTTTGTACCCAAACGGGCATCACAGATTGCTATTTTTAAAACGAAAGTTTGCTCTTTTCATGGATTTTCGTTAATTATCTGGTTACTTACTACTAGGCACTTACGTTACAAATACGTGCATTTTCCTTCAACTTAATTCAAAATCCTATAAAAAATAAGTGTATAAAACTACTCATTTAAATGCAATAACAAATATTAGTTGAAAATTCATTTTAATATAAAAGCGTTATTGAGTAACATTTATAACTTTCCTGGAAATAGTTTTATTAATTTCTGGCACAATCCGATGAACACCAAATTATCAATTGAAATATATTACAGTAAACTTTTCATAAATACATATACCACGTTGTTCTTTATGATGGTCTATAATGTCCGGATATTAAAAATGTTGATATTTTTCAAAAGAAGCACCGCTAATGTAAAATTCAATTGAAGAATTTTAGTTTACATTTAGAACAAAATAGTGTTGTCACATTTGAATGCTTTTGAAAAAACTTTGACCACTTTTATGATATGATCTTTTCGATAAGCTTATCTTTGACTTCTTTGCGAAAGAAAATAATCAGATGAACGAATTCCCTTGAGCATTTCAGGCCCGTCCTTTGAGAGAAGATTTTAGAGATAAAGAAAAATGTGGACAGAAATGGCGCGTTAAAGAACCATACCGCAAAAATGCTCACAAAAGAATTCTTTAAGAATATTTATTTTGTACTCACCGAGGATTTAACTAAATTTAATTTGTGTGTTAAAATGAAAACGAATATCTTTGACGAGAAATGAAAAGTATTTTATTGTGTAGGTGTTTTTTTTTAAGCCAATCATTGTATAAGAAACCAACAAAAGGTTGGATGGGTATGGCAAAAGTTCTGTAAATAGTAAAATAATTTTTTATATATAAACATAGATTGCTTTATATCATACGCATTTCACAATAATGAAATATTACTGATATTAACTAGTGGTACGTAAAACCTTATAAAGGTTATATGTATTCAGTATAATAATTTGTAATGCGGTCTGTCCCATGATCGTGGAGGCTATAAAACCTTAGAAAAGTTCTAATTTGAAGTAAAATTAACCGCTGTACATTCCGTAAAAAAGTTTTATTTTGCATGTAATAAATTTCATTGAAATATAATATAATCTAATATAATATAATCATGAAAAGTTAAAAGAGGAGCCACAAAAAAATAATAATAGATATTGTAATTGGTCAATAATCAAATATATTATTAATAAAATCTCAGTGATTCAAGATTTGCAAGATATATATATAATTAAACAAGAATATCATCAAAAGAAACCCAATATGTACCTGAGGATAAATCTAAGTTAGTTACGTTCTGTAGCAGCGATCGCGAGTCACGAAATAATCCCGGATCTATAAGCTGAGGGTTTTGCGAAGAATCCATCCAATTTTGTACACTCCTTGTCGATATCTCCTGATCAGAATATTCACGTCAAAATATTAAAATGCCGCTTTCGTAAATAGGATACGTCTACAGAATGATATCTAAAAGAAAACATCTAAAAATTAGAGAGTAATATTTAATTTTTGTTTACTTCTATTCGAAAGGTCTTGCCTTTCTAACATGGCATGTATATAAATGTGGCATATCGATGCATGTAGTTGACTTAGGATCGTACTTCGTTGCAGTCTATGGGGAATGTCTATGTTCAGCAGTTGACTCAAACAGGCTGAAATGACGATGATGATGATGTCTCCAAATTTAAAGATCTTTTGAACATCACGTGTTTATTGGAAGAGAACTGATGATCAGTAGATTATTGCCATCGCCACTAAATGTTTAACGAAGTTAAACTTAACATAAATAGTTTATTTATATATTGCCTTAGTAATCACGCATTGAAAATCTTCAAACATCTTTAACAATAATAAATAATCCCCGGTACTAATGAAACGATTTTGAAAATTCCTTCACTGTTACAAAAAGTATATTATACTACTTTTTATTTTGATAATAATATATTTTCAAAAATTAATCACAATAAACGTAATCGAAGTGAGCAAAAAATTTATTATCAGTTTGAAATATAGGATTCACAATTATACCTGGTAGGCGGCGCTGGAATCGGATTCTAGGTATTTTTTTTTAAATCTTTACTCAACTTATGGATTTGAATGGGTTCCTGGAAAGTTTGGAAATATAATTTGATTGGATATTCATTAAAAACTGTGTATGTATATGTATATAATGTATATGTATGGTAATACTTATTGTATCGTTTAAAAGTATTGTATGCTAGAAGTATATTATGTGTTATATTTTTATATTTAATAATTATGTATTTTTTTCTTTTTAGTTTATAACTATGTTTGTGCACCTACCTCAACTTCTCAGTACCACCCTAAGATTGACTGGTAGAAAATGCTGTCAGCATTAAGTCCGCCTATGTACTGTTTTGTGCATGAAGTTTAAAATAAATAAATAAATAAATAAAAACTTAGAACCTGATTGTAGTGCCACCTACAATCGGGTGTAAATTTTTTTTTAAGTTTTTACACCGATTTGACAAATTGCGCGGGTCAGCAAGTTTAAAATAAAATTGTATGTTAAGTAGGTCTTATTTTATAATAATCTTTTGATAAAAAAAATACATAAGATAATGTCTTCGCCATTTAAAAGTTACAATTTAAAAATGAAATATAACTCAAATCGTCGTCCTTACGCATAAGCAGTCAATTGTCTCAAAACATGTCTTTTCCTTAATTTGATTGCGAAACAGATGCCTGTTTCAATTAATTTAAATATTGTAAACTCAATAAGAACTAAAGTTTTTATTGCGACAGCCTGAAGGCGGAGTAAATGTACTGAAACAAAAACATTAAAAGGATCGTACAAAGGCACAGGTGTACAAAATGGAATGTAAATACGTAAACGTTACGTATCGACCTGGAAGACATTTACCTCGAATGCTTTATTTCTGATTTTACATGTTTTCATTTGATGATCTAATAAGCCTATGAGCGGCCCGTATTTCATTTAACATAAAACCTTATGTTAAGACCTAGAATTAAATGCAAACAGATCTTATTGTCAATAATCTTTAAATAGCGAAGAAAACATAAGACAATGTCTTTATCTTGAAAATAGAATTAATTTAGTTTCTTTACATTATTACTTATATTAAACACTATTTTAAGGTTCTCTCTCCGATTTGTCT